ACGGAGAAGACAGACGCAACTGACAGATGACTAACGTTATGCACGGAAAACCCCATGACTGTTAAAAGGACAAAATATGCAGCGGACATTCAAACGCATTTTTTTATTATGAATATAGGACTGACCTGAAGGAAAATGCTACGTCTACTGTAAATGCAGGTACACTCGCTTACTCGATCTCTCACAATGCTCTGCTCTAGCTTTAAATGAACAATATCAATGAGATGAAACATCTGTTTAAGTTGCTAAGAGTGGTTGCTAGGGGTGTTGTGTAGTGATACATAGAACCGTTGGGTGAAGCGGTCATAGCCGTGTTTTATCGTGAATAAAGCACAGCTATTGACCAATCAGAATCAAGGATTGGAACTAACCGTTTTATAAATATTCGATATAACATCGAATTAGTCATTTTAAAACATTCTGAAAGACACAATTTCACAAACAGCGTGAGTGTTCAGCTGTGCCGCGTCTTCTGTCTCTATCTCAAAATGGGTTGCTCAAGGCAAGCGTCAAACGCGCTGAAGGCGGCGATACACTCTCGCTTTCGGGAGTTGGGACATGACGGAATATTCACTTGCATATTCGGGCTAGTATTGCATTGTCACTTAAGTTTACCATTCGCTCGTCTTTTTAAGTCTTACCACGCAAAACATTCAAGCGATTTTAAACTATTCAGTGCTCGCACGCTCTCTGAGAGATGGTTTTCTCTGCATGCATACATAGAGTAAAGCCGCCTCACAAACAGCCTGTGAGTAACAAAAGTTCTTTTTCACGGATTATATCGCTTTTACGGACAAAAACAAGCAAATTGATGTCAAAAATGTCAGTCTTGGTGAGTATCCAACACAGTCGGTTAATGCATGTGACAGTATAATGAACACAGGATCCGTGCACTAGCTCTTAAAGTGACGGCAGCCATGTGTGTCTGTCATTAATTTTGTCGTCAAAACAAAAAAAGATAGCTTTAATTATAAGGAATCTGGATTTATAGCCAATGTATTTAATTTAGTCAGGACTAAAATACTACCCAATGTTATTGTACATTTAATTACTTTAAGTTTCTGTAGTATTTCTGAATACTAGTGCTAGACCTATTCAAAAAAAATTCTCTTTATTGGTAGGCTATCTTTATTCTATTGTATTTATTTGTTTAAAATGATTTCAACGTAATGTAAAGAAATTACTTTGTTTGGTGCACATTCCAACACTTATTTAATTGAACTCTCATTGTTTTTTAATGACAAAAACTAAATAGTTTTTCAGTTATCACAACTGTTATAACACTGTTTATTCAATAAAGATATTACTCTGCTCAAAAGAAATTTAAATTCCAAATTGATCCATATCGTGATACGTATCGTATCGTGGCTTTAGTATCGTGATGCGGATCGTATCGTGACATTGTTGGTGATACACAGCCCTAATATATATATATATATATATTGTCATTGCATTCTTGTGGCTCAGTGACACACCTGAATGAAAGGGTCATTAGTATGCAGGCTGCAGCCCCATTATGCGCTCATTATGCGGGCCCATTGTCTTCTCAGGTGTGAATCACAGCAGGTCACACCCCTGCGCATATTGCCTTTCCAAACAAAAAGTGTCATTTTTAAATTTAAACCAATCTATTGTTTTATGTGAATGATAAGGCAGGATGATTTTCAGATCATTTTGAAGAAAAAACTCTAGGCGACAACATCCATTAGTCAAAAGTCTTGTGGACACATATTTAGTATGTGTTTTGTGGCCTTATTTCAGAAACTTTAAGTTTTAGTTTTTTCAATAACCACGCATAAACAATATTCTCTCAAAAATACAAAAATGTACATACACGTTGATAACACATTATGGTAGCCCTGTGTGTGCTAAATAGAGTGTAATTACACCTTTGCCAGTAATATGTTTATAAGCAACTGAAAAAAGCACAAATGTCAGAGTATGTCAAAACATCTCAAGGACCCCAAAAACACCTTGGACCCCAGAGGGTTAATAAGACGGGTGACCCAAAATACCCATATTATAACAAATAAATAAAAGATATTTGGAAATTACCCTAAAACGAAGGCTCAGTTTGTGGTCAACCGTTCACTATTAATTTATTGAAAACAATAAAACAAAGAAACGGTCACTTATATTAAACACTTTTTTTTTTTTTGTTAACAGAAGTTATCTTGCCCCTTTAATTGCCTCCGCTATCATCCTGTCAATCATCGGTCTCATTCTCGCGGGTCGCAGCTATGATTACAGTTTCAGTAAAATTTTATTTCACCATTATCGGTACCCACCCTCAGCCGATTGGCATAATTACAGTATTTGCAATGACCATCCCGTGTCCAAAACGGAGCTTATACTGTCTAAAAGAAAAGTTGTGACTGCTGACTGAAGACTGGTCTGTGCCTCAACCGCTCGGCGCTGTCTAGCGCAGCACCACACAGATTTAACTCTGCACAGCTAAATAAAACAGGCTGGTGGCAGACTAATATTTAATATGTAAATATTTCTGTGAAACGCGTTAAGTTGCACAGAAGAAAGCCCAATCTAGGACCTGCCCTGTACAGTTTAAGAAGCGGTAGAGGACTATTATTATTATTTATTTTTATTTTATTTTTTTAAAATTACAATAGTGCAAACACACATCTTTTAGAAATCTAAAACATTTCCAACAATGTATACATTAAACAAGTAAACTAATTCGTGCACAATCATAGCACAAAAATGGAAAGAGCTAAACAAAGAAGAAAAAAAGGGAAAAAAAAGAAACAGCAAGCAATCGAATTTTACGGTTTCCATAAGGCATTTTTCATTCGATAAAAATGCCTTATGGAACCAGTAAAATTCGATTGAATTTCATGAATATCGACTCAAATGAAATACGATCGGTCTCATCGGATTTTATCTTGATCGATATACGGTTTATGCGATAAACGCGGATGGAAACGTTATTATGGTGCGATCCATTTTGCCTAGTAAAACTTTGTTCGCAAATGTTGGCTTGAATGTGCAATTCGGTGAGAAAATGAATGGAAACACCTTAACATGTCTCAAATCAATTCGATATACCAATTTGATCGCAAAACAGCATGTGAGTGACGTCATTACGCACAGGTTTTTATCCGCTTTAAAGGGATACTCCACTTTTTTTGGAAATAGGCTCATTTTACAACTCCCCCAGAGTTAAACTGTTGAGTTTTACCGTTTTTGAATCCATTCAGCCAATCTCCAGTTCTGGCGGTACCACTTTTAGCATAGCTTAGCATACATCATTGAAGTGGACAAGACCATTAGCATTTCTAAATAAAAATGACCAAAGAGTTTCGATATCTTTCCTATTTAAAACTTGCCTCTTCTGTAGTTACATCGTGCACTAAGACCGACGAAAAATGTAAAGCTGCGATTTTCTAGGCTGATATGGCTAGGAACTATACTCTCATTCCTGCGTAATAATCAAGAAACTTTACTGCCGTACCATGAGTGCAGCAGGCGTAATGATATGACGCAGCGCCATTTTTTTAGAAATGCTAATGGTTTTGTCCACTTCAATGATGTATGCTAAGCTATGCTAAAAGTGGTACCGCCAGAACCGGAGATCGGCTGAATGGATTCAAAAACGGTAAAACTCAACAGTTTAACTCTGGGGGAGTTGTAAAATGAGCCTATTTCCAAAAAAAGTGGAGTATCCCTTTAAAGCCGTTTGATGGAAACACACTTTCACCAGCTTTATTCGCATGAGGTTTTTTACCGAACTTCAGATAATTCGATTGACAAGTGGATGGAAACATGGCTATAGCTACTGTCACTTTTGATAATTTTAATTATCATTGATCATTTGTGAATAAAAGTATTCATGAAATAATACTGATACTGACCCCTAATCTTTGAATGGTAGTGTATGTGGGAGAACAGTGCATTATTTGAGGATTTACAGTTTGAGAATCAATTTGTCCTAGTTTCTTTATTTTTATGGTGTCAAAGATCAGTAGATACTTTTAGCATTAGTTAACCCAAAAAAATTAAAGGTAACACTTTACTTAAAGCCTACATACTGACCCTCGTGTTGTTCAAAAAACATTATTAACAGCCGTGGTCACTAGTATGAACTGTAATGTTGTGTGTAATTTATATTTTGTATGTTGTCAATGTATTTTTTGTTCCAAGAAAAAAGAAAAAAAAAGTTTGTGGTGAATAAAATGATGACAGAATATTCAGTTTTGGATGACCTGTCCCTTTAAAGTACTGAATTAGTTTTACAATAACAAAACGGGGCATTAAATACAACTCTCACCAACAGATTTCCCCCAGCCAGCGGAAAGAAATAAAATGAGCACAGCTGGTGGACTGAACAATGATGACATGAAACAGTAAACAGTTGGATAATGCAGACTGTGACGGGTTTTTGTTTCCACTGCTGCTGCAAGGGCTGCACAGCCAGCTGACAGCAGAGCCAGAGGAGCTTCCCATGAACCTTCATTTACCACGGCTTTAAATTGGCATGACATATTCTTTCCTACTCAAGCGAGGAATGTGCATGCATGTTAGGTTTGCCACCATGGTTGTAAAAGCTTGTTGAATAAAGGTTATTTGGGGGGACTGCATTGTTCACATTGTGTGCAGCTTTGAGATTAAATCAAAATAAGTTAAACTGAAATTAATTGGATTTAACTGGACTGAAATCCATCTAAAACAAGCTCACCTGTTTGTCCAAATAATGGAAGACAGGGGAGTGTTCAGAATCAGAAAAAAAAGAAACATTTGAAAAGAGTTCTTAAAATACACAGTTCACATTTACATATACTAAAGTTTCACTATTAAAGAGATCAGATGTTAAAAGATGTCGTGGGATCGGCGCACACGCTCTACATGTTGCACATTTGGGAGAGGCAGGTTTGAATCCGGCCTGCTTCACATTCTAATCTCATTCCTTTCTAAAAGGGAAGTCTAAACACACACACACACACACACACACACAAAGAGTTCAGATGTTCAATAGTGTGGCCTACTTGTTCTTCAGCTCCTCCATGGTGCCTTTGTATGGAAACATGGATGCAATAGCTGTGAAAATCTTGTCGTCAGGAATCTTCTTATTGGTGGACACCTCTCTTCCTGGTGATGGAAAAGCATGAGTAAAATCAGCATTGTCCGGAATTTGACTTATAAAGTGAAAGCAGACTAGTGTGTGTGTGTGTGTGTGTGTGTGTGTGTGTGTGTGTGTGTGTGTGTGTGTGTGTGTGTGTGTGCATATTTCCTCTGCTGTGGCGAAAGGGTCAATGTGTACTGTAACAGGATTCTGGCCTAAAACAAACTGAGTGAACAAACAGGTTTACCCAGCTCTCAATGGGAATAGAGGCGACACTCAGAGCAAACAATTGGACGCAGACACAGACACACTGATGGGCAACACATGTGCGTTCTAGTCTATTTGTTGTTCAACCAGTGAAATTCAACTGCAAATTGTCTATTAAAAGCTTGTCTATTAGAAGTTTTTCCTCTTTGTCGACATCTCTGTTTGAAATCTACAATTGCAGTCATTCGCGGAATTATCAATTTTACGTGAGTTGTACCTCGGCACGGCACAGCGCGCATGAATCCAATGTTTTGAGGAGAATGTGCAGCTGTCAGTCAACGCGCCGGTGTGGATACTGGCATTAAGAATCACAAATTCTACTTTTGGAAGCATGACCAACATAAGAATTTTCACCCTAAAATGTCATCTGAACAAGTAAGTAACATCCACGTTTGTTCTTCTGACCAACTAAGGGAAAAAAACATTGCAGTAAATCGCGCTGATTAAATCTAACGATCGCTTATCATATCACGTCAAACCGTGCAAGTTATACTTTATGTTAATGTTAGACAAACATCAGCATTGCGTGACTACATTTAAAGGGGTCATATAATGGTACATGCACTTTTACAAGTTGATTGTACTGAAATGTGTGTTGGCAGTGCCTGTACACAACCATCATAAAATGATAAAAATCCATCCAGTGTTTTTGTTTTAATCTCCTTATATGTTTTCCCCTGTCTCAAATCGAGCCGTTTGACCGTGTGACGTCACACGCTCGGAAGCCCCTCCCACGATTGTTGATTGACAGCAGCGTTTCAACACAGACCCGCCCTCGCTCGTGAGCGAGCTGTCAATCATAGTCCGCGTGGACCGGCGCGGTCATTGTTGATATGCTGGAGCACTGTCTATGAGCAGAATGGCGTCTAAGCGATTGTGGTGTTCTGTTCTTGGGTGTAATAACGAACACAGCAGTCATTTTAATGTTCCTAAATCCGAACCGCTGAAGACGCAGTGGCTGAGTTTGTTTTCGAAGGGAATATTCCCCACGAGCAACGTCAATGCTCTCATGTTTGCGCGAATCATTTCTCAGCAGACTGCTTTATAAACGAGGGTCAGTATGAGCTGGTTTTGCTAAGAAGCTGCTCATGAAAAAAGGATCGGTACCAACTATTCGTGTTCCTGCTGAACCTCCAGAAGAACTGAAGTGAGTGTAACGTTTTATTAAACTTTATATTAATATTTATATTAATCTTTGCAAATCGCTAGCTGCACGCTTCACAATGAATGCGTCTAAGGTTTACACTCAGGGTACATTACGGCATGTTTTCCATGTATGATGTTCTCAATATAATTCATAATCCCACGTTTATACTGAACAACGCGTTATGGTTATTGTGTTATTGTGTTACTAACGGTGTACGCATAGAACAGAGAGGCGGGGTGAGCAAAGCTCATTATCATTTAAAGTCATATGCACTGAAACGGCGTGCTGAAAACAGAGCTGTTTTTGACCAAGTAAAATAAGTGTTTTCTTACAATACTAATGAGAATTTTTAATTAAAGTATATTACAAACTTTTAATTTAGACCCTAAAGAATCATACTAGCTTGTACAAAAATGGCATTATATGACCCCTTTAAAGCTTTTGTTTTTGTTTTTTTCTGTTCAAAACCAACTCACCTTCAGCAGTGCTCCTCTTTCTCTTGAAGATGCCCACTATTGACTCCTCTGGTCCTTCTGAAGCACTTTTCTGCATGCCTTTCTCATCCACCTCCTCCTCATTCTCTGCGGGCTCTTCCTCCTCATTCTCTGCGGGCTCTTCCTCCTCTTCTTCCTCTGGGTCTGAGTATTGGCTCAATGCCTCCACCAGCTCCTTAAAGATCTCATCGTTTATGAATCCTCCCTCTGTTATCAAGGTACAAGATACTTATGTACACCACACTGCCGGTCTAACATTCACAAACATATGATATATTGATATCACAACAGGAACAGCATTACATTACTATTGAAAAGTTTAGGTTACTATTGAAAAAATGCTGTTCTTTTGAACTTTTTATTCATCAAAGAATCCAAAGAATTTAAAACGTTCAGGTCTTTCTAGAAGAGATTCGGTCCAGTTCTAGTGACGCCTCTGGTAATGGGTGTAAATATGTACAGTATTTTGTGATGCTCACCTCTGTCACCATGCACCCCATCATAATTGTCAATAAGCTCTTCCAGAAAAGCCTCATCCTGTTCCAACACCTCGTCTCCCATGTAGGGGATATTATGCAGAAACGTCTCATCTTCCACCTCAGAGACAAAAAGAGGTGGAAAAGACGTTAGGAAGAAGGCTGTGATTTTTCACTGTATTAGTGAGTTTTTTAAATGAGAGAGAAATGCACGATATTGTAAATTTGTATTGCGAGTGGGTGTTTTTGTATATGCCTATATTTGTGCCTGTAAGCGAGTGTAGGCGTTTAAAGACGCACATCCTCCTCTACCTGAGAGATGATTTCAAAAACACATGCTTAGGGCTGTCAGAACATGTGAATGCGCTGCTGCAGGGTGACCTACTTTCAAAATGACCAGTGCCATAAAATTATGCTTTTCTCTCTCCTTCTTTTTCTGCAGACGCAGGCTGCTAATGGTGATCATGATTGAGTGCTTTTAATGTGTTAATGTGTGTGTGTGTGTGTGTGTGTGTGTGTGGGTGTGGGTGCGTGTGTGTATGTGTGTGTTTATTGTCCACATCCAGTACCATGAAGTTCTGCTGCAAAGGGGACCAGGAGTACATGAATGGTATCCCAGCAACAGTTGTCAAGGGACGCATGGCAACTGCCTGGTTCGGAAAGGACGGAAAGCCAAACTCTACCATGCACAACTGTGATTGGAAAAGAAAAGGAACAGAGGAAAACAGATAAGTCAAAGTGCCACACAAAACTATTAGAGAACTGTTATATACTATTATATATATTAATTAGCCAATGTAATTTGAAAATATTAATTTTATCTTAGTTGAATTTTTCTCAGATTACAAACAGATCAATGAATAAAAATAAATAATTATCTACTATTAAAGGAGGTTTTCACCCAAAAATGTAAATTCTGTCATATTTTACCATCATGCTAATGCAAACCGAAATTACTTTCTTTCTTATCAGGAAAACAAAAAAAGAAATGTCACTCCTTTCCATGCATTTTACAATAAATATACTGAGGCTATCAAAAAGGATGTACAAACATAATAAAAGTAGTCTTTTCGATGCATGCACTGTAATCCAAGTCTGAATTTTCTGAAGCCATATTATAGTTGTAAATCTTTTGAATCAAGTTGAAGTGATGAGGCTGATTTGTGGCAAAATCATTTCAATTATGAGTGAATTATTTAACCAGCATTTATTGGCATGGGGCATGGAATCTACATATGCTTGATTTTGCTTGACAAAATCTCCTACGTTGCTGAGCAAATACAATACTTTGTTCACCGTAGTAAAAAAAAACATGCATAAAGTACTGCTGCTGCAAGAATATATTAAAACCCCCATAGCAGATCTCTACAAGTGGCACTGGGGAGGAGGACGGGTAAACAGAAGTTGTCATAATCGTGCAGCAGGGAGATCGCAGGCTAGAGTATGAAATATACGTGGTTACGTGGATCAGGAAGTACGCCTGGTTGGCTAATGCCACTGCGCTAGAGGAACAAATCAGTGCTCGGTTAGAGTTTCATGACTTAACTATGTATTTAGACCAGTTTTGTGTATTAGATCAACCGATTCATTGAAAAGATTCACAATATATAATTTTTTCTCTCATAAACATGGTAATGAGATCAAAGGTGGATACCAAAAATGTTAGAGACTTATATTTTTTTGTCTGTTCATCACTAAAAGCTTGTATGGCTACAGAAGGAAAATAATGCACTAATCATACAGACCATTTATGATACTTATATAATATTCTTGTGTCCTTTTTGAAGCTTGAAAGCTTCCGTCCCGCTTAACAATCCCTTAAAAATATTACACCAAATCAGTGATATTGATAGAAGATACTACTAGATAGAAGAATCAAACTGGGTACAAATGTGTACTAGTGGATATACATTTACAATTGTGATCATAATCCACTAATCAAAAAAATATTTGGTTTGGTGTATAAAGAACTTTAAGTATGGTATTGTTTTGCAGGGCTGTTGCATGCAGGATCCAGCTGTGCTGGTATGTGGAGCAGTCTCTCTTTTTTCCACAGAGAACTAAGCTTTGCTGTGCCTGCCGGCTGCTTTTATTGTGGATATCACAGGAGTTTTAGCTATTGAGCGCTCACTTGGCAAACATACAAATTCATTTTTGGCAACAGAGCAATTTTATAAAGTGAAAAGAAAATCCCACTTTCCTGCATTTTTACCGGTCTACTGGTAATATTTGCCCGGACTAATAAATTAGAGGTTAACTGTGACACAGTCAGTCCATTAATAACATCATTAAGTTGATCTAAACACTTGTCTGGTAGGATATGATAAAGTGGGTACTGCAGGAAATAAGGCGGCAAACTGTGGCACCTGATCTTGAGTCATTACTGGCATTTTGTTTGAATAAATTAGGTTTGGAAAATGGCAAGGCAAAGCTGACTATGTATTGATTCAGCTCATAAATCAGCTAGAGGGGACAGTCTTGTGCTGAATTAGCAGCAGGTTCAATTCACAGTAAAGCGATCTAGTGTCATAGAGCAGATCCAGGATGACTGACAGCGGTTAGTGGTAGTCAAGGTCCCCGGCTGTGTCATTCTTGCCTTTTTGTTGGGCAGAGAGGTTGTGGACAGAGGAATGGACTGGATTCGGAGCTTGGACCATTCCTCATTCAGCAGCTCAGTTCTTCCTTCAATCTTAAGGCGATTCGACTGGAATAGACCCTGAGAAAAACACACACACAAAGACTCAGCCTAATAGTTATAAAGACATAATTAGATGCATTGGAAGCTAAATTTACGAAATTAGAGTGGCATAGAAAAACATTGAGATGAAAAAATCTAAAATATATGCACTACCGTTCAAGTTTGTGGTATGTAAGATTTTTTTCTGTTTTCGAAAGAAGTCTCTTATGCTCATCAAAGCTGGATTTATTAAATAAAAAATACATTAAAAACAGTAATATTATTACAATATAAAATAACTGTTTTCTATTTGAATATATATTTTAAAATGTAATTTATTCCTGTGATGGCAAAGCTGGATTTTCAGCATCATTACTCCAGTCTTCAGTGTCACATGATCCTTCAGAAATTAGTCTAAATAAGAAGATTTGCTGCTCAAGAAACATTTAGTATTATTCTCAATGGTGAAAACATCTGTGTTACGGTGTGTGTAGGCAGGACGATGAAGACACCGAAGAATAAGGTTCCAACACAAAAGTTACCTTTTCATATAATCCTCTAAAGATAACATCAGAACAGGTAACACACACACACACACAATAACGGTGACCGGACAAGGAGTGCAGGTGAAGGAACAACTTAAGTAGTAAACTCAAACTCAAACGAGGATAATTAATCAAACCCAGCTGACGCATTTGAACTAATAATGACGGGAACCAAGGAGACGGATGAGTGACGGGAATCTGAACAAAGAAGACACGTGACAAATAAAAACAAACTGAAAGTCCATGAAAACTAAACTAAACTAAACTGAATGGTGACAGAACGCCCCCTACGGCAAGGCGGGGTTCCAGAGGAGGGCGAGGATGTGGCAAAGGGCTGGTGATAGCAGGACGACCAGGCAAAGGGCTGGTGATGGCAGGACAACGAGACCCAGATGGTACAGGTGGAGGAAGTTTGATGGCGCAGACCCAGAGTTCTACATAGCCGACAGACGGAGCCGAAGGCGGGAGGAGCCAAGATGTGGTAGTTGTGGCTCTCGATTTCTGGGAGTTGTGGCTGTCGACGACCTACGAAGACGAGTGCACCGGATCCGAAGGTGCAGACGGAGGGCCGCTGGAGGAGCTGAGCAACATCGCTGGTGCTAGAGACCCAGGCAATTTCACGGCGACGAGCATCATAGGTTGAGCCAGAGTACCCGAGGACTGGGGTGATGCCTTTGAGACAGAGGACAGAGGTGATGCTGATGGGAGGAAGGAGCCCGCTGCAGCCGTAGGGGAGAAGGGACGGAGCGCAATAGATGGCCCGTATGTCCGTGGCGTAGGTCGGGCGACGACTGACCAAGGGGGAGCCGGTGGGACAAGGGAACCCGGTGGAGTCACTAGGCCGAGGGTCCCTAGTGGAGCCGAAGGTGGAAGGAGCCAGGACGGCGCCGACAGGTCAACAGACCGAGATGGAGCGAAGGGATCCGAGGCCAGAGGCGGAGCCACAGGATCCTCTAGTGCTGGCTCTGCTGATGGTTGCTCGACCTGCGGCTTGACGTCCTGGTAGGGCATCTCCAGAGATGGCGCAGGGCTGCAAGCTTCTAGCAGTGACAGGGAGGCACTAGGCGATGGTGAACTCTGTCCTCTTGAACTCAGGCTCTGGCTTACGGCGGGTGGTCCCTCAACGTTTGCGGGGGGCTCTCGAGCATTCTCCGTGGTCTTCAGGTTCTCGTCGTCGAGTGGGAAAATGACGGCAAGACGAAAAAAAACCAGCAGAAAAAGAAATAAAGCCTGTGCTCTCCTGAGCCACCTTAGCGTATCAATCTTAGCGGATCTTAGCGTACCAATCCATGTTTGGTCCAGTCATCTGTTACGGTGTATGTAGGCAGGAAGAAGAAGACACTGAAGAATGAGGTTTCAACACAAAGTTTACTTTTCATACAACAGGTAGGTGCAGGTGAAGGAACAACTTAAGTAGTAAACTCAAACGAGGACAATTAATCAAACACGGCTGACGCATATGAACTAATAAGGACGGTAACCAAGGAGACGGATGAGTGGCGGTAATCTGAACAAAGACACATGACAAATTAAAACAAACTAAAAGTCCATGAAAACAAAATAAACTGAATGAAATGGTGACAATCTGTATATTTTTTTAAAGCTGTGATACATTTTTTTCAGAATCTTTTAAGAATTGAATGTTGTTGTTTTTTTAAGGAATTAATTGAAATAGAAATCTTTTATAACATTATAGATGTCTTTACTGTCACTTTTTATCTATTTAATGCATCTATGCTGAATAAAAGTATTAATTTCTTTAAAAGAATTTTTTTTGCACAGTAGTGTATAAAAAACTTTGTGAGAAGTAAGAAAAGAAAAATACAGAATAAAATATAGTGAGAGGTAATACTGACAGAGTAAAAGTAAGAAGAGTTAAAAAAAAGCAACTGCAAAAGGCCTTCTACCTTGACCTCCTCATTTTTGCGGAAGCGTTTTAACTGTCTTAATCTCATGTACTCAGACTTGACTCTCTTCTTCCATTCCAGCAGACTGTGGGGAGGCTTTGCAGTGCAGGACCGGGGACCTGACACCTCCTCCATCGCAGGAGCAATGCTTATGTATGTAATAAAAAAAACATATAGTTTAGCTCACATTCAGAAAACACTGACATAAAGCAGAATGTTTAAGGATTTTATAAAATGTACAACAAGTACAAGTTAGGATGTACAATATTTCAAATTCATCATAGTCCAAACTTTCTGTCCAAAATGTATAATACATTACACAATGTGTGTGTGTGTGTGTGTGTTTAATTTATATATATATATATATATATATATACACTGAACAAAATTATAAAAGCAACACTTTTGTTTTTGCCCCCATTTTTCATGAGCTGAACTCAAAGATCTAAGACTTTTTCTATGTACACAAAAGGCCTATTTCTCTCAAATTTTGTTTACAAATCTGTCTAAATCTGTGTTAGTGAGTACTTCTCCTTTGCCAAGATAATCCATCCACCTCACAGGTGTGGCATATTAAGATACTAATTAGACAGCATGATTATTACACAGGTGTGCCTTAGGCTGGCCACAATAAAAGGCCACTCTAAAATGTGCAGTTTTACTGTATTGGGGGGGTCTGGGGGGGATTTCTGCACAAACTGTCAGAAACCGTCTCAGGGAAGCTCATCTGCACGCTCGTCGTCCTCATCGGGGTCTCGACCTGACTGCAGTTCGTTGACATGTCACCCATTGAGCATGTTTGGGATGCTCTGGATCGGCGTATACGACAGAGTGTTCCAGGTCCTCCCAATATCCAGCAACTTCGCACAACCATTGAAGAGGAGTGGACCAACATTCCACAGGCCACAATCAACAACCTTTTTTTTTTTTTTTTTTATTGGACCCCCCCAATACAGTAAAACTGCACATTTCAGAGTGGCCTTTTATTGTGGCCAGCCTAAGGCACACCTGTGCAATAATCATGTTGTCTAATCAGCAACCTGATATACCACACCTGAGGTTGATGGATTATCTCGGCAAAGGAGAAGTGCTCATTAACACAGATTTAGACAGATTTGTGAACAATATTTGAGAGAAATAGGCCTTTTGTGTACATAGAAAAAGTCTTAGATCTTTGAGTTCAGCTCATGAAAAATGGGGGCAAAAACAAAAGTGTTGCGTTTATAATTTTGTTCAGTGTGTATATATATATATATATATATATATATATATATATTTGAAATTTGGTCACTTATTAATAGTTAGTAAGGTAATTGTTACTATAGGTATTGGGTAGGATTAAGGGATGTAGAATATGATCATGCAGAATATGGCATTAATATGTGCTATTTAAGTACTAATAAACAGCTAATATTAATATGTACTTTATAAGTAATAATGAACAGCCAATATCCTAGTAATATTTATGCAAATAAGCAACCAGTTAGTAGTTATAATTGGACCCTAAACTAAAGTGTTACCAGAAATGTCAGCCTAAAAAAAAAATATAAATTGTATATACATATAATAATTGTGCATAAAATGTATTCATATTTATTCGCCTGATTCTATATCTTCATCTTCATGTGAAACATATTTTCTGGGATGTGATAAACAGCACCTTCCAGAAGGGTTCCCGTCAGAAGTGACTCATTCTCTTTCACAGACACACACTCAAGGGACCTATAAATCGCATGACTCAAACTTTATCATTCAGTAGTGACTCGACATAGGACTCACTCACTGCCCCCTGCAGTTCACTAAACAGAACTAGCATTCCGCATTATACACCATTTAAAGGTCTCCAATTCATATTAGTATTTAAGATTAACGAAACTCGATAATCACTTAATGGAAATGGCAAGAACGCGTTGGCTGTCAGAGAGCAAAACTGGTTATGCAGCAGCAAACAGCATCCAAGTGACACTGCACTGAAAAACACGCGCTCCTCGCGCGTACACACTGGAAGTGGGCGTGTCTCTCTCGCGAGCTCATATCACCACGGTGCGGATAAGTGCGTAGTACACTTTTCACCATTTCTTAACCCTCAAATATTGTTTTCTCGAACTTTCGAGGAACTAATATGAAATATGAAAGGTTTGAAAATGAATAGCGTAAGGCTACACGGGCCACGAACGAAAGCGTTCATAATGAAGAACGCTAAGCGTCAACAACGCCACACGTTGAAAATATTTGCACGAGACGCTGTGAAGCAAACGATACAAGCTGAGACGATTTAAACATGTCGTGCGCACGTGCTCTTTCTCTCTCGCACATGCTGGATAACGATACGCATTATCACTGTCGCAGTTTGAAATACCTTAAGAGTCCCTGGCTTCTCCTTCCTTTAAATCCTCGCTAATCAGCTTCAAGTGCGCAGCAAAGAAGTCCGCGTGCCCAAAAACGTCCTATAGTGAAAAACGGTGTCCTGGCTACCGATCCAATGCAGATGTTGGTGCCAGAATGTTTGTGTTGACGAACGCAGGGGATGTGAGGATTCCTCGGTCGTCCGTGAGCATGTCGAGATTGTAGTTGTACAGTTAAGAGCTGCGCACTTGGTTGGCACGGTCAAAGCACAGGGTGACGTCTTTATTATGAACATACTCTAGCTCTCTTTGGCTGGACCACAGGCTGCGAGTGCACTGTGGAGGAAAATAATAATGCAACTTATTTTCTGAATAATTAAAAGACTAAATACAAACAAATGTATGAGCTCTGACATTTAATTGTCAGAATTTAAAATGATAATTAACCGAATGATTATATATGTTTATTATTATTATTATTAGTAGTAGTAGTCCCTAAAAGCGTGTTTTATTACAATACACACTTTTTAAAAGTATTTTAAATATGAAAGTACTGGTGACAAAAAAACGGCTGCCATATAAACCATTTAAGTAAGTAATGTCCTTTATAGCAATACCTAATCATATATGTATAGACGTGATATGTACACGTGGATGTTAATATATGCAGAGACAGAAGTCTCCGCGCAAAGGGGCATGGCTTAAGGATCCAATGCTTGTTGTTTTGGCACGGTTCCTTTGAGATCCGCAGCAAAGCATGTACTGTTTTCCTCCAGAGAGCGAGCGAGGGCAGCGAGTATGGCAAGCCGTTTTAGCATTAAAGGGATAGTTCACCCAAAAATGAAAATTCTGTCATCCTTTACTCATCTTCAAGTTGTTCCAAATCTGTATGAGTTTCTTTCTTCTGCTGAAAACCAATGAAGATATTTTGCAGAATCAGACGGTTGATGTGCCCTATTGACGTCCATAGTATAGGCTATTTTATTTTCCATGCTATATGGAAGTCAATGGGGTCCATCAACTGTTAGGTTACTGACATTCTTTATCTTCTTTTTGAACTATCCATAATACTCCTGGCTCTTCTAGTTGTAAATATCTATTCTGCAATTTTGACTTGTAGTAATTGGAATTAAGATATCTACAACATGATTCTGACAAGTCATAATAGGCCTATACATTTGAGATATTGACAATGCTATTCTGACTATAGTCATATTCTCCCATTGACTTCCATTGGAAACTATTTTCTGAAATGAGTTAACTAGTAAAAAAATTGTAATTAAAGATATCTATAATAGTTTTAGGAATAATTCTAATTTAGAGATATCTCAAATTTATCTCAAAGTAATGTATTAGTCAAATTACAATTAGCAGGGGCGTTTCCTCCGAAGAGTCAAGGGAGACAGTGCCTCCTCAAAAAAATTGGATGAGAAAATAATCCATATTGCAAAAATAAAAACAACACAAATATAACAAAATGTGACATTAAAGACTCTATTAATCACTTGTTTTTCTAAAGTAACACTGTCTAACAGCGACACCAGCAGGTATAGTTACCAGCAGGTATACCAGCAGGTATAGTTCGCGTCTCTCTTGATTCCCCTGAGCCTGTTGACTTTTAACAGACCCCCTAAAGCCTGCGACGGATTTGATGGGGGTAATTGAGAATCAATGGGGGAAAGTCACGTGAGAGGAGGCAATGCCTCCATATGATTGGTTATGATTGGATTGGTTCACGCGATAAATCATGCCTCTTGTTTTCGAGCGTGTTCTGCGCTCGTGAATCAGTCTGAACGAAGGCTAATGAAAAAGTATAACAGCTGCTTCACTTAGATATTACTGCTTTATGTCATGCCAAAATCAAACTTGAAATGGCCTGAAAACATGACGACTGTGCAGGTTTTTAGTGAGCAATCAGCTTGGGGAAACTAAAGACAGAGACAATTTATATAGAGACATGCCACTTCCTCAATCCTCAATACAACTATATAGGGAAAACCCGTAACGCCAAAGATGGCGGTTGTATGCACATGCCCCGCCCCTCCCGCTGGAAAGCCAATCGTCTGCTTTTAACAGTCAAGCCGGGAAACATGTAAGCCTATCGTCTGGTTCCACTGACGCATGCGCACAGTTGAGGTTTGCGACAGCGGAGACGAGAACCCTTACGCATGCGTAGTAAACGTATAACCTGTGGGGAAAAAGACCTTTTAAACCTTATTTTGGGGCAAAGTCATCAAACTTTTTTAGCGATTTTTTTTATCATATTTTACTGCTGTTTCTATACAAGCAGTTTTTATGTCCCGGTGACCAGTGAAAGTGCAGTTCTGACACTCTGCCCATTCATTTAGATAGGAGCCTGGTCTTGTTAGTCCGAAATAGCTGCCCGGAGGCGTTGCCAAGATGGCGGCCGAGTGGCATGACTTGCCTAAAAGGACTTTGCTAAAGATAGGCCTACATCTTCGTGTCTGTGACCAGTGTTTACCGAGCAAGACTGATGATCTGAAAATAAGTTGTCTTAAATAGAACAGCTGAACATCAGTTCACAAATAAAATATATTGTTTTATTATTTTGGAATAAATATAAAAATGCTTAAAACTAACTTGATGAGATTTATACTTGGTTTTAATCAAAAGAACATTAATTACATAGTAGTTAATGAATACACAATAGAATTGTATGTTTTTAATGTAATGTAAAGTAATATTTAACCAGAAAAATGTGACAATATTAAGTGTCTGGGACATGAATTTAGATTTGATTTGATTTATAAAAAATATTTTTTTTAAACTGTGAGGACTTTGCCTATCAGAACACCACTGCAGGCCACTAAATTGTAGATATCTTAAATTGGATTTTTGATTAGGCATAACTTAAGAGAGATCTTGAATTGGAATTCTTCCTTGTCAAATCTCATTTAAATATATCTGCAATTTAAGTATGGATATCTCAATCTGATTTTTGACTATAAGACATTTCTCAAATTATATCTAAAATGTAATTTCTTACTAGAGCAAAATATAATTGCAGATATCTCTAATTTCATTCTGACTAGTCAAAATATTACTATGACTCATCGAAATACAATTGTAAATATATAAAATATGTTTATGGTTAGTCAAACCATAGTTTTACATGCCAATGCCGCCTGCCATACAGCGTGAGGTCCGCCCGCCCGCGCGACACTGAAGACTCTGCCCTTCGCTGCACGTCACACGCGAGCCAACGAGAACGCGCTCGAGAGATAGCAACGCAGTTTAGTAGGCCCTATTGCTACTGCTATTAAAAAATAAAATAAATAAATAATAGTATAGCGATAGCGTAGTAATGCAACAGCTACACATGCAAATTCTAAGTAGTAGCATATATTAATAATAAAATAATGGATTATATATAAAATAATGGATTATATATATATATATATATATATATATATATATATATATATATATATATATATATATATATATATATATATATATGCTACTACTTAGAATTTGCATGTGTAGCTGTTGCATTACTACGCTATCACTCTACAATTATTTATTTATTTTTTAATAGCAGTAGCAATATAGGGCCTACTGTACTATTAAACGTTGCTATCTCTCGAGGGCGTTCTTGTTGGCTCACGTGTGATTCATAAAAGAATGCTTTCGACAGACAGATGTTGTGATATTTATACTTTATACCGCTAGATGTCGCCATATAGCCATTTATTGTTAAATCTCGGTCCTATTTTTTAAAGCGATAGTTTACCCAAAAAATAAAAAGTCTTACTCAAGTTGAAGTTGTTCCAAACCTATCTGGCTTTCTTTCGTCTGAAACCAAAAGGAGATGTTATGAGACCGTCCGTCTGCCTTCACCATTCTTTGTATGGAAAAATAGCCCCATATAGGCTATGCGATGAAAGTGAATGGGGACTATACTTTTGTGTTTCACGAAAGTCAAGTTTGAAACAACATAGGGATTTTTATTTTCAATATTTGGCTTAATATCCCATTGACTGTACAAGTTCCCTGCCTATAGCATTAGGCTACTAAGAAAAAAAAAATTGTCGTTGTTGCAGTAACAATTTATATTTGGTTCGGTTTCGCAGATTAATAGCTTATAGGAAAACAGTAGAGCATGCACTTTTTGCTGCTGCATGCTTGGTGCACGTGATACCGTGACACTCCTAGGCCTACATGTAGAAAAGACATTGTGTAGATGTAGAAGAGTTCACCAAAAAAAAAAAAAAAAACAAATTAATTCCAAAAATGTATGAATTTCTTTCTTGAGGAACATAAGAGATTTTGAAGATTTTGTCTCAGGGTTTTTTGTCCATAGAGTGGAAGTCAATGCCCAAACTGTTTCTTCAGAATAATTTATTTTGTGTTCCACAGAAGAAAGTTATGCAGGTTTTGAACATAAATGTGAGTACATTTTCATTTTGGGGTGAACTGTCCCTTTAAGTAACAAGGATAAATTCTGACGTGTAAACATTTGTAATTAACATTTAGTTTTTGTCATATGCTGATAATGTTTACTGTGTCCAAGTAGCCTACTGTTTACAGATTCTTTTTTCTTTTGCAATTAAAACTTTCTGATACTGACATTGTGTGTGTGTTGGTTTGAGCTGCAGACTTGGCTAAAGACTGGCACTGTGCAGGTGTTTTAGCTTCTTTTGTCGGTGTAGGGTTGAGGTGGAATTGCTCATCGGTTCAGTATGTGATAGATAGAGTGGTAACACAATTTTTCCTCACACCCTTATCTCAGTAATGGGCCCATCCTAACGGGGTTTTCTTAGGCCAGTCAGGTGTTTATCTTGGACCTCACAACAGAAGCAAGCACAGGCAGAAAGATTGACATAAGAGGGAGGTCTTATCTGTGGAAAGTTTTTAATTATGTGCAGTGTAAACCCCGATGTTGGTTTTGGCTCGTCAAATGAAGATTAGTATCAGCCGGTGTGTGTGGTACTGAGGGATGGGCTCTTTGCTCTGAGGTCGGAGTTTAGAGGATGAGATGAAATATCATAAGGACTGTGACATTTGAAATGGTGTTAAACAGCTCCAGATACAGAGGCTTTAAAGCATGTAAATGCAATAGTGTGCAAGCTTTCTGCATGAGGATGTTATATGAAAACAAAAGGAAAATCTTGCACATATTTTATATGATAATAATGTGCCATTATTACCATTAAATTCCTCTATAATTATTTTCTCTCTTCAATGACCTAAGACAGAGGTTCCCAAACTGATTCATGCTAGGACCCACTTAAACTTTTAACAAAGAAAATAACAAACAAACAAATAACTTTTGAAAAAAAATCAAAGTTCATTCAGTAAAGAATTCAAACTAAACTCCTGAGATTGTCTTTTTGAACAATTCATTAAAATAACAGACTAAGAGTAATTTATCTCATGTATCGGACTACACAGGTCGTGACCCATAGTTTGAAAACAACTGACTTATCCCATTGCAGGACAATAGACTTGAGGGGCATTTCATGTGTTTCTATGGGGGAAAATGTCTTTTGAATTTATTCATCTTTTGTGCGTAAATTCGAATCAGCTTTATTCTTATAATGTGTAAAATACATTATTGTGTACATCAGGAAGTATGTCTTCAGATTTAGCCTTTTGGAGCTCCAATTTTGTGAAATGTAAGTGTCCTGAACTGCTAAATAAACCCTGTGTTTTCTGTCCCTCTAACTTAATCTGCTTTACAAACAGAGCAAACCAATTAAGGGTGAAAAACAAGCCTCTCCTTACTAATGTGAATCAAATGTGGAAGTAATTTAGGTCGTCAGAACTTCACAAGGCACCAGACCAAGTCCAGCTGAGTGAGAGAGGGGGGATTGCCAGATGACGTTGACTTGTACATCTGTGGCTGTGTGTGTGTGTGTGTGTGTGCACATAAACTCTAAGGGAATGATACTTTCTCCTCTTGCATCACTCCTGAGCTGTACCGAGTGCACGCCACTGGTGGTCATAGTGTACATGCGTCAATGGCAGTGGTGTAGCTCTATGTACGTCAATAGCGAGGGTAGACACTCCTCTGAGCCAATGCTCAGGGGGTGGATTTGTCATCAGTCTTTATCTTTCCCCTCCTCACTGAAGCACAGTTCACTCTCCAAAGCACCTGGTGTAAGACCCCCTGTAGAGCCCGTTGAGGTTAAACGAATCCCAGCCAGAAACATTAAAAGAAACAATCTGGATTGAAGCTGCTTACTCAACTCTACAATAATAAACACTGTGAGACCTACCACAGAAGCCAGTTGTGGTTTAACATTTGAAAGTAATGTCATTATTAAAATGTAATGATGTGTTGCCTGTAGTTGTCCATGCAGAAGCAATATAGGGGAAAGATAAGCTTTGTATGTGTGTAGAGATAGAAGTTTGTTAATAAATACTTTATAATGAAACTAAGTGAAATGTAAACAGCAATATGTAAAGCATCCTGTACACCAGAGAGTTGTTCCATAAAACAAGATTAGAATACAAGAATACATTTACCAGAATACATTTAACACTGACCCGTTGGGAATGTGATGATATTACCTCTGACTCTCTGGTTGGTTGTAGAGGAAGACTGGAGCATTGAGGCTGTTTTTGAAGACAATGAAACAGGCAGGGTTATAAGAGACAGTTATGCCAATAATTATTTTGGTTAATACGGTCCAAACCATGTTAAGTTTTCACTTTCTCCTAAACTTTCCCCTTAATTTACAAGACACACAAGTCACAATTAGTTTTTTTTTTATTCAGGTAGAAGCTCTCTGTTGGGGGTGAAAACATACAATTAAATGTTGTCAAAAAACAAAAAGGTCATGTGTCATTGTTTTAAATATGGCAGTTCTACTTTAATTTTTCTCTAGCTGTTGGATTTCCAGCTCCAACTTTATCTTGAGTTTTTTATATTGTATGTCAGTATCTATGGCTTCGGAGATAGCCATAGATTTGTTTCAGGAGATTGTAAACTCCCTTTATGTTCTCTGGGTGAACAGAATATGAAGTTATTTGATTGAGTACTCTTGGCACTTTTTTTGTAATTTCTTAATACTCACTTGGTCACATGTGGTCCCAGACTGAGAGGGCACTAGAAGGGTGTCAGCATCCTGCAGCCAATAATAATAATAATAATAGGGGAAATACACAATATTAGCACCTCACAGGTAGGCTTTTAAATATATAATGTGCAAATCTGTGCCTATATACCTCAGGCCTCCTGTCATACTCTGTCATACTCACAGGGTTCAGCATGATCTCTGGTGGATCCAGCAAGCACACCGAATTTGGCATCACTATGAAACTTGAAACCAAAAGATTTGGTTAGAAATTCAAGAATTAAAAAAAAAGAAAAAAAAACACCTTTTATGTTGTAATTCCTTATAGGTGGAATGGATTCAGATGCTTCCCCCCTCTATTCCTTCAATGACAGGCCTCCCTTTGTTCATTTCTAATGCCAGCTCCTCTGCAAGAGTAAAGTTGGCTGTTGGTGGCCCTCCCCCAGTGCCAGCAACCTCACTCTTCTTTTTGGGAGCTTTAATTAATAAACATCATGAGACTGGACAGTTGTAACATCAAGCTGGCTATGACTTACATAGACTATAGACACACACACAGGCAGACACACACTTTAATTTAACTTTAATAAAATATGAATGAATGAATGAATGAATGAGGCATTTATATAGCGCTTTCATATGTACTGTACACCCAAAGCGCTTTACAATCATATCAGGGGTTCTCTCCTCAACCAGCACCAGTGTGCAGCATCCACTTGGATGAAGCCCGGTAGGCTTAATTTCAAATTAGTTGCTAGCCTTTCTCTCGTGTTATGATGATTAGCTGATTAGTTCGGTTCATTCAAGTCAGGTGTTGGACTTTAATCCCCGCTTTTCTAAGCGGCCTTTATGGAACAACCCTCAGATTCTTACATTTCCGCACTGTTTCCTCAGTTATGAATAAATGCTAATTGGTCTTTGACCAAAACATCATACATCTCATCAATATATACTCTACACTACATGATAAACAAATGAACTAAACTTAAGTAGGCCAAAAGTAAAATCGGGCTCATGCTTTGTTGATTTCGAAGTCCTTCCACTCTCGAGTAGTGTTAGAGGAAAAACATACATACACTCACCTAAAGGATTATTAGGAACACCTGTTCAATTTCTCATTAATGCAATTATCTAATCAACCAATCACATGGCAGTTGCTTCAATGCATTTAGGGGTATGGTCTTGGTCAAGACAATCTCCTGAACTCCAAACTGAATGTCAGAATGGGAAAGAAAGGTGATTTAAGCAATTTTGAGCGTGGCGTGGTTGTTGGTGCCAGACGGGCCGGTCTGAGTATTTCACAATCTGCTCAGTTACTGGGATTTTCACGCACAACCATTTCTAGGGTTTACAAAGAATCGTGTGAAAGGGAAAAACATCCAGTATGCGGCAGTCCTGTGGGCGAAAATGCCTTGCTGATACTAGAGGTCAGAGGAGAATGGGCCGACTGATTCAAGCTGATAGAAGAGCAACTTTGACTGAAATAACCACTCGTTACAACCGAGGTATGCAGCAAAGCATTTGTGAAGCCACAACACGCACAACCTTGAGGCGGATGGGCTACAACAGCAGAAGACCCCACCGGGTACCACTCATCTCCACTACAAATAGGAAAAAGAGGCTACAATTTGCAAGGGCTCACCAAAATTGGACAGTTGAAGACTGGAAAAATGTTGCCTGGTCTGATGAGTCTCAATTTCTGTTGGGAAATTCAGATGGTAGAGTCAGAATTTGGCGTAAACAGAATAAGAAAAAGGATCCATCATGCCTTGTTACCACTGTGCAGGCTGGTGGTGGTGGTGTAATGGTGTGGGGGATGTTTTCTTGGCACACTTTAGGCCCCTTAGTGCTATTTGGGCATCATTTAAATGCCACGGCCTACCTGAGCTATGTTTCTGACCATGTCCATCCCTTTATGGCCACCATGTACCCATCCTCTGATGGCTACTTCCAGCAGGATAATGCACCATGTCACAAAGCTCAAATCATTTCGAAATTGGGTTCTTGAACATGACAATGAGTTCACTGTACTAAAATGGCCCCCACAGTCACCAGATCTCAACCCAATAGAGCATCTTTGGGATGTGGTGGAACGGGAGCTTCGTGCCCTGGATGTGTATCCCACAAATCTCCATCAACTGCAAGATGCTATCCTATCAATATGGGCCAACATTTCTGAAGAATGCTTTCAGCACCTTGTTGAATCAATGCCACGTAGAATTAAGGCAGTTCTAAAGGCGAAAGGGGGTCAAACACAGTATTAGTATGGTGTTCCTAATAATCCTTTAGGTGAGTGTACAACATCCTCAAATGAATGTACACAAACAACAAAAATGCTGTTAAACAAAGGTGTGCAGTGACAAACACACTGACTTTATGTAGTATGATCCCCACATACTTTAGTATACATCAGTAGACATGTTTGGAAGAGCCAGAAATGTTTGGTAGAGTTAGAAAAACTGTTATTATTCATGATTTGAATAATCAGGAATTATTAAAACACAAAAAGAAAAATACCTAAAATGGTGGGCATAAATCATTAGAAAGGTCCATGAACACAATGCAGATAAATGTATCAGAAGAGAGAAAGGGGGCAAGAGAGAATATGAGTTCAAGGGAAATTCAGAGAGACAAATGATGGCAACATTGGGATATATTAGACAGCCCACTCTATCTGTAATGTCTCTCCATGTATGAATTCACCACCCCTTTAAGGAAATGAGCACATCCTGTTGTTTTAATAGAGTCTTCCTGTTGAAGAGCTCATACATGTGATGTGTGCAAGCTGAGGTGGACAGACAGACAGGATCCCAGGATTAAAGCATAATGGCGCTCATATCTATAGCTACTTCAAAACCACAAGGGACTCTTCTGTTTTGGGGTAAGATCTGAACCTTCAGAATAAAAGTTTGGTTTTATGTGCTTGAAACTTAAAATCAGAGGCATTCCTCCAAGAGAAAATGGTATTAAAAAGAAGTACTATCTTCAATATATTTAAAACATTTAATTTGAACTGTTTCTAATGAAAAGAAATTGAACAACAATTCTGATTTTAACTCTAGTGTAATATATATATATATTAAAATATTATATTGTGTTCTAAATTTATCAATATTTTAAACTTTTTGCCCTCATGAGCATAAAGAAAATATAATGTACATCAGTGGCGATGCCAGAAATATATTCCACTAGAGATCAAACCGGAATTATTGATCTAAATTTTTAATTAACAGTTCAATGGAAAATATATAATATTGAATTGTATTTTAAATGTAGCCTATTCATATTTTATATTTTTGCCCTTGTGACCATAAAGAAAATATAGCCTAATGGAATATCATGTAGGCTAGAAATGATACTGTTGACCTCTTCAAAATTATGCTTTAAGTTTCTGTTTTGGTAGATATAGATAAATAAGGGATTAGAACACTTCTGAGGAAATGACTTTAATGATCCAACTGGACAAGACAAAGGGAGGATGTGCACTTCATCTCCCTTCATCTCCTCCCTTCCTGCATCTTTTTCCATGCCTGTCAATATTCCCCTAACTGCTGGAATTGCTGGTCTTATAATGATGAATAAATGCCAGTGCGTTTCTGAAATTAAGTGTGATTCATGTGTATAATACAAAGTTTCTTTTTCATGATAGTCTGTCTGTGTCTAATGGTCTCAACTCTGCAGACCCTGGTACCAAACGAACAGAAACACGCTGTGGTGAGTTGTGTTGAATTTTTTTCCTGATAAAAATATGCACATTTTAAAAGTCTTATTCAAGAATTCTATTGGCTATCAAAAAATATTTTTGTAAACCCATGCTCTGTCTCTCATAAAAAAAATATTTTTCTTCTGTGCCCTAGAGGCCGACTGCATCAACCCCACCGATAGAAGTACAAACCACTGCCTACACCAGAGCAGGTGAGGGATACAGCTGTATAAATATGACAGACATGTTGCTAATTTTTTGTTTTTCTGAGTTTTATCTCCAAATAAACCATACTGTGAAGTTGTTTTCAGTGTATGGATTAAATTGAGTCCATTTTGAGCTGCTGATGTGCAGTGCTGCCATGTATACACGGTATAAGCACGTATAACAAAGAATAGCAAACAATCAGTGCTAGGAAGGTAATAGCATAATAATGGTGTAAAGAATATTGTGTCGCAATTCTACACTGCGGTGAGAGATTTTGTTGACACTTTCAATCAGATTTTTTCCCCTAATATTTATATGCACGGGAGAGTCTCTGGAACGAAGAATAAACCAACTGCTTCAGTTTGATATTTGGATAAACACATGGGCACAGGGGAGATTTAGATTGGCCTGTTGTAAGGATCCAAAAACAGAAACAAAGACTGCATTGTTCTGTGAGTGTCACACACATATGACGTTTAACAACACATACAGCACGGCATGCTACGTAAAAAGTATATTCACATAAATAAATGTTGTCTTTCTCTGTTTTTTGCTTTCGTTAACACACATACAAAGGAAAGTCCTTATTTGGTCTTTATTCTCACCTCTTAAAGAGTTAATTTCATACCATTTATATATATATATATATATATATATATATATATATATATAGAAATGTTTTATTCTACCTTAAAATCTAAAGGTCAAAAAAGCATGTCTTTAATATAAACCAAACCAACCAGCTCTGAGTTGAATCTTAGCAATACTTTTTGTTTGAAGCAAAAAATTATTTGAAGATGAAAAACTCATGTAGAAATGTAGTCTATGTAGTCTATCCTATGAATAGCTTTGTGAATGACAACTGAATAAAATAAAACAGTAAATTAAAACTATCAACAATAAGTCATTAATTCTAAATAAAAATAAAAATATATGTGACGCTTATTGCAAAAATATAATTTAAAATATATATTGTTTGATGTTGTAGCGAGACTGTCATGTCATTTGCAATGCTTCAGGATCGTGATCCACTCTTTTTGCAATTGGGAGTCCTACGGTATTGTAGGGCGTTTAAAAAGGCAACATTTTGAGCAAAAAGCTGAGAAAATAACGATTTTGTCAAAGACTTTGTCCAGATTGGATTCAGAACGATGATCAAAATATAGATGGAGTAGATCGCAAAGATTTACAGTCCTGTAACTCATCCTGGGTCGACATTTCATTCAGTTATGTTAGGCAGTTTTGATTTATCCTGTTTAATGTTGATGATCTACATATTTACATATGCATATGATTATATGCTTGTTTCTTCTTTTTTCACCTCTGTTTTGATCAGGAGATTCAGCTACTCTTTCAGAAGATGTTTCATAGCGCCCCCTACCGTATAACAGTGAAAACACGGAAAGCCGGAAAATTTCAAGTACTCCTCGCTGCAGACTGTAGCGCGGTGACGTCACGTATATACAATACGTCACGTACGTACGTCACGTATGTGTTACCACGCATGCGCCATATCGCGGCGACAGCGCATGCGCGTTACGCGTTTACGTCACGTGTTTTGACGTCCCGCGTCAATTTGACATAATATTTAACAAAAATGTTAATGTATTTAAAAACTCTAAAGTAATAATGAAAGCAGCAAAAAGAAGTAAAACACACATCCATAGTTTTAACTATGCCTGATTTAAGGTAAACTTATGAGAAATTTTAGAATGTATTATTGTGTAATATCTGTGTAGTATTTTATTTAAAGTTTATTTTTACATTCTATTGAATTGAATGCCTTTATTGTCATTGTACTTTACAATACAACGAAATTGGGATCACTCTCCACTGGTGTATACAATAAATACATTTAAATAATCCTTACAGTACATAAAATAATAGATATAAATAAATCAAAAATAAAAACAGTATAAAATCAGTATAAAGTTGAATTAAAACAGTGCATTTGGAAATAAGCTATTTTTGAATCTGGTGGTGCTGGATTGTATAGACCTATAACGCCTACCAGAAGGTAACAGTTGAAACAAAAGGTGACCTGGATGAGTATTGTCCTTGATGATGTTTTTGGCTCTTGAGAGAGTGCGACTAAGTGCAATGTCTGACAAAGATGGTAAAGGGCATCCTATAATGTTTTCTGCAGTCTTGATGATTCTCTGCAGAGCCTTTTTGTCGGCAGCAGAACACCCAGCAAACCACACAGAGATGCAATATGAAAGAATGATCTCAATGGTGGATTTATAAAAGGACACCAGCAGCCTTAGATTCATTCTGTCTTTTATTGCACTTCACTTTGTAAATTACAAAATTACTGTAAACACTGATGGCACCTTATATATTTCTTATTTTAATCATTCCCCTTTAATAGTTAATAATTGTTTATTTTTGTGCATTATATAGGCTATCATAAAACATCTATTCCAATATTGAAGTTAAACAGCACATTGTCAATCTCTGTATCCGATATTATGCATGCCAACTCAAAAAAAAACTCATAACAGTCATAACTTTTATTTCAAAACAAAGATAATTGTGTAAAAGAAATATGTACAAATACAGATAATCACATACATCTGTACACACACAGACAGACACACACAAGCACAGAGACAGACACGCACACAGAGACAGACACACACACACACACACACACACAAACACAGACAGAGACACACAGAGACAGACAGACACACACACACACACACAGAGAGAGAAACACACACACAGAGAGAGAAAGAGAGATACAGACAGACAGAAAGACACACACACACACACACACACACACACACACACACACACACACACACACACACACACACACACACACACTCAGCTTGAAATTCCCCTCCATCATTGAAAAAACAATCAACTGAGCATAACCCTCAACCTCCTTATCAGAATAAAATCAACGCAGGACTCCCCTTCTGCCATCACCCACACACCCAGCCCCAGGTGGGCAGTCCTCGTATATTGCAGTGCAAGCACAGAGTTAACGAGAAGGGCACCCGGAACTCTTGCTTGTATTGCTGGAAAATGCACTCCAGTTCACAACACCTAATTTAGATAAAATACAGAACAAACAATATGAATCATTTTGAAGAAAGGCATTAATATAGTACAGAGTCATACAAGGAATTATATATATATATATATATATATTTTTTTTTTTAAACAAAGTTATTGGCTTTGTCTGTAAAGTACCTAAGAGACTTTTATTTATTTATGAACAACATAAACTAGTTTAAAAAAAAAAGTTATGCTGTTTAAATGATAAAAACAACTAAGGAGAATCACAATGAATCTTATTTGAGCAAAATACAATGTTCAACTCCATTACTTTAATTAATTTCACCACAAATGTATTTAACATAACTTACGTACTGTAAGTGTACTACTCACTACATTCACGAATGTAACTTTTACAGTACGATCTGATACTGAGGAACAACATTTCTTTTGCAATGGATGGAACAATCAACTACATTACTTACATAAGTCTTTCTGCTCTATTTGAAGACATCTTTCAAACCTTAATTTGTTTAAAGGCGAATTAAGACTTATACATATCATTTTAAGACTCGCTGAATCTCGCTGAAGTCATTTTGATAATATGAGATCATAAAACATAACATTTTTTGTCAAATCTAAAACATTTCTGATGCGTTAACACAAAAGAACAATTGTTAAAACAGCATAAATAATCCTTATTGACTTACTGCCATCGAATCCATCGCCGGAAGTGATTGTAATGAACTGCGCGTGCGCAAATGCGTATAATTTGCGCGTGCGCACATGCGTCTACTTTGCGCATGCGTGGTAACACATACGTGACGTACATACGTGACGTGTATACGTGATGTCACCGCGCTACAGTCTGCAGCGAGGGGTATCTCGAAAATTTCAATAGTAACCGATTGCAGAACCGCAGAACCATACGTCATAGCAGTGTGAGGACGACAGCGCCAACTATAAAAAAAACTATTAACATTTGTTAATAGTAGGCTACATTGCCTGTCTTTTGTTAATAGGACAAAACATAGTTATTATATTTTATAATATTTGATATATATATATATATATATATATAGGCCTATCTCTTAAATATTTTTTTTTAATGAAATCGTTAAAAAATATATTCATAATAGCATTGTTTTAAACTTTGAAACGTTCTAAAACACAGAAGTAGCGCAATGCCTGGCCACGCCCACTTCCGGCATCAGACTGTTAGGCTGGCGCTAGTCTCAGCCTCAGACGTCACGCCCACGGGACGTTGGCTAAACGTTGGCTAAACGTCAGCCGTCAGTCTGAAGGTCTGGCTACGCGAGACTAGGCTGGCGCTGTCGTCCTCACTCTGCTATGACGTATGGTTCTGCGGTTCTGCAGTCGGACCTATCTCAAAAATTTCGTCAATGGCGGGGAAGCGTTGTCTCATAAATGACGGAAATTAATTGGCAGAGTTAAAAATCAATGCAAAAAAAAAAAAGATTCTTGGTGATATATCATCCAAAATTTGAAAGTAGGTTGCTAAAAAAATCAGAAAAATCTAAACTTTATTTAAAAAAAAAACAGTAGGCCTACTACACTAAATGGTTTCCTGTAGAGTAGACTTAATCTATTGGTACCGATTGAAGACAAACTCACATGGTCAACATGAGATCCACAAACACAGAAGTGTTACATAAACTGTTCCAGTCCTCCGTCGGCCCTGGATTCGCCTCTTTCTCATACTTTGAAGTGAGTGAGCTGAGAGTTTGTTTCAATCACAGCTGGTCTTAAACCAAAAGTGCGGCCCTTCGAGCACAGATGGCAAACTCTGATTATATTGTTTCCCGAACTCGATCTTAATATGACCCAGTTATTCTTAAAAGTGTCCGTTCCATCAAGCCGCCCTGCTCTGCCTCTAAATGTTCACTTATGTTTCCTGTTTGGAAACAGATGCAAAAATGCAAATAAATCAAAACCACTGAGCCGACGAGGAATCAACCTGAGAGAAACAGTGTTTTTTTAAAGGGGGAGACCCGTTTGCAGATGTCCATCTGGCCTGGGTGTGCTCGGCTCAGAAAAGATCCGCGCCTCGGGGAAACAGCTATCCTTTAAACACAACAGTGCTTTACAATATCATGAGTTGAGACTAGAACTGAGAACCAGTTCTTATGCAGAAACATTTCCATTAAAATTTTTCCTCTTTCTTAAAGTTCCCTCTACTACTCACCACAACACAACTAAGAGCAAGCTCACACAGGACTGGGCAGGACTGGGGGCCGGGGGCCGGGGGGCAGTTGACTGGATTGTTGATGTGGATGGTGGATGGGGGATGGGGGGAGTTGACTGGATTGTTGACGGGGGATGTAGCTTTCATGAGGCACACACACAAGTTCTCTCGCTCTCTGCCGTGCTCTCTCACCTTCACTTTCTCCTCACAATCATGACGTAGATCCACAGCTAGATCAATGAGAATAGAAGCATATGGTTCCAATGACCTCCGATTGAAGTGTCACAAAATTCAGAAATTATCGTACATTATGGGATTTATTTTTTTCATAATTGATCGTACATTGTATAGAGGTCAAAATTATCGTACAAATACGATAATTATCGTACGTCTGGTCTGGCAACACTGTGTGGAGCTGCTACACAACAAGGATTCTTGTCATCTGTCGTTATCTTGCCATAGCAGTGCGCATGCATAGGCTACTACAACGCTGACAAGGTGCACAAGCCACAATACATTAGGGCTGCGTCCGAAATCTGCGTCCGGTACCTTGCCTACTCATTTATGAATACAACTAACGTCATTTATGAGTAGGCTACTGTGAATTTGGACATACATCTTTTGTCGTTTGACATACTGTTTTTTGCCAACTGTATAGGGAAGTATGCGATTTCAGATGCAGCCTTGGTCAAGAGCTAGCCCAAAGCAAACCAACAGCGAAAAAAAACATGTTCTCACGTGAAAAATTCATGTATATGATTACAACGTTTTTCCGTTTATACCATCTGCACTGTGATTGGCTAGATTAGTTCCAACTTGTTGTTGTATTGCACAATCAACAGATCAAGTGTAAGAGCACAATTATAATGCTGTAAAAGCGGACTGAGCTTACCTTTTCGGCGTGATGACATTTAATCTCCTCGACAGCCTCTGTAGTCCCATTTAGCCACTTGTTAGCAACCGCCTTTTTCAAGACACGTACGCTTGGGGTAATACTGATGTATTTTATGTCATAGAATAAAACGTGAAGTCTTGAGCTTGTGTTCACCACAGACCTTATTTCAGCAATTTAACCAAAAATCCCATTGACTTCGGGGATGGAACCAGAAAATCTAAAATGCTAACTCGTTTCCGTGTTTTGGCCTTCAACGTGATTTATCATACTGCACCACTCTATAGACAAGGTGGAACAAATCCAGCCGATCACAGTGCAGATGGTATAAACGAAAAAATCTCGTAATCACTTGCATGAATTTCTCGCGTGAATTTATGTGAGAAAGAGTTTTTTGCGCTGTTGGCCTCTTGACCAAATATCTTGTAGTTTGTGCACCTAGTCAGCATTGTTTTGTGTAGTATGAGTGCTGCTATGAAAAGACGACGACAGATGACAACCCGGCTTTTTTTAATCCTTCAGATTATCTGATTATAGAACTGCTGGATCTCATCCTGGACTACTAAACCTATTGCAGGTCTATTATAATCAATCACGTGAAATTAATAAAATCTATCAAAGATTAGCTTCTGGATGAGATTATAGCTGTATCACCATTAAGTAGCCAACATTATCTGATCACATTTTCTCTTGATGCTCTGGCCATGACAAGCAGTTACAGCAGCCAGACAACTAATGTTAAGGTCAAGAGTCACCCAACTAAAACAAACACTGATCACCAAAATGGTGACATCAAACTATTGTTTTCAATAAAACATCAACATCTAAACCTCTGTTAATTCTCAATTAGAACTTTTGTGCACGTATGACAGAATAACGTCCAACTGGTTTGTAATGAGTGAAGCTTGTAATGCTGTTTGTGGAGTTGTCCACGTCCAGTGCCCGCTGGGAAACTTAGACCTCTAAACACTTTATAAAAAGGGGGTCATTTTGAACAATGTTATCACTAGAATGTTTTTAGAGAATGTTATCCTACCTTTTAGGCAAACGTCCTGGGAACAAAAGCAAAATTTGCCACTGAAAACAATTAGTGAATAAAACAAGTCTAGCTAGGAAGAAACCTTGTTGTGTAAGTTAGTGAGCACCACAAATTCAGGTCTTCAGTCCTGTGTGAGCTAGCTGCCCTTATGTTTCGTCTGAATCAGAAAAATACAGCAGAGCCGTGTGGTCCTGATTCCCGAGCTGATTACTCATATGAAGCAGTTCTTTATCAAAAACACATTTAAGAATTACAATTGCTGTCGAACGCAAGATATTACTTTCGTCATGTCCAACTCCAAATGAGCAAGAACTAACAGCCTACTTGTGGAGGATTGTTGTGAGACACAAGTAAACTGACATGTAGTTATTATAGTTAAACATAATAGACATTAAGAGTTTTGTAATTAATAGTAGCCTATTTAAAAAAAAAAAAAAAAATGAACAAATTTATGACTGAAATCTCATTCACGTTTTTTTTTTTGTGTTTAATATTTTAATATTTTGTTATGGCTAATTAATGGATTGTATTTATGCCTCCTTAATTGAAAGTAATTGAAAATGCATTAAAAGTTTCAGGGTTTTTCAGTTCCAGTCCAGACAAAGAGAGAGAGAGAGAGAGAGAGAGAGAGAGAGAGAGAGAGAGAGAGAGAGAGAGAGAGAGAGAGAGAGAGAGAGAGAGAGAGAGGAGAGGGAGGGGGGGGGGGGGGGGGGGGGGGGGGCAGAGGTGGAGCATTATTACGTGGGAAAATTAAAGCGTTTTCGGTCAGCAGCTTTCTAAATCTGAACATCTGGTAACCCCGGTTCCACATGTGGATACGGCGCATCACGCTTCCACCCGCCGCGTTTCCTGTTATGCCTCGCGCTCTTTGGTGTAAAAGTTCAGGCACATTCAGTGGCGGGTTTCGATCATCTCGCCAGCGCTCGTTTGCTCTGATATGAGGGTATCCTTCAGCTTCTTTGGCGTCTTTCTATCTTTTCTCTGTGGTAAGTTTTGTGTGCGTCGATATACAACATCAGCTTTCATTTAGCCTAAATTAGACACTTATGCAGTGCATGAGAAATCTGTGCTTGCACGATGAAGATGTCACAGACGAATATCTAATAAGATGAATATGATGTAGGATGAACTTAATGATGATATTAGATTTAATTATATTTTTTAGATCCTGGCCGTGGAGATGGAGGAACATTTGGTATGTAGGCTACATTACTTGTCAAAATAGCTTAAGAGATAATTAGCCTACTTTATTTATATCAACTTGACTGTGACACCTAAAAGATACATATGCAAAAACGACATTATGTATGACAGGATCATTCACATGACTTATATAACTCATTATTATTATTTTTATTTATTTTTTCATTTACATCACAGGCTGTGCTAACAAGAGCATCTGTGACATATACTGTTCAATATGTGTGAACAGTTCCTGGAAAACTCAAAAATGCTATGAAATGATGGTGCCCTTTTGTAAATATAATTTTGATTTGGCTATGGAGTCTATAAACAGTACTGACTGGTGTTCTTTGGAGAGAGTAAAAAGGTACTTTCTAAGGATTCATTATCAAATGCCATATAATACTGTATGTGCTTGATAGTTATTGGTGGCTTTCTTTCTGTCTGTTTCTCTGGCAGTGCATACAACAATTTCACTGTGTGTACTGAGATTGTTGCTGAATGTCTGCTGATTCCCTGGCCGAATAAGTTTGTTGAAAACATATTTGTGGATATCCACACCGCTTATTTTCAAGAATGCCCCACAGAGGCACTGAGGGACCCCCCCTCCCGGCATCATCCTTGCCCTTGTCATGACCCCTATATGCCTAATCCCTGCCATGGTGGTCCTAGTTGTTCTCAAGACTAAAAATGGAGACAGGAGGTCCTAGAGAAGATTCCAGGTGCAAGAAGATTTTGTTCTTATTTCTTCTTCTGCTTCGTTTCTTCTTCATTCGGGATGGTATCCCACTCCGGGATAATGTCCTGGCCCAACACTCCCCTGGAGTGAATGTGCACCTGGTCGACTCCAGGTTCAAATAAACCAGCATGCAGGATGGCCATTTGTTTTGGGGGTGACTTCTGACTGGAAAATGTTACTGTACTTCAATGAAATAATTGGTGGTTAGAAAAGTATATTTATCATTAACCTACAGCTGATGTAAATGCATAATCTAATGAAGTATAAAATGTGAAATGGCAATGGAAAAAGGTTAGTTTGAAGCAGTCAAATGTAAGCTACTGCATACGTAACCAGGTGAACAAAACATCACAAGACAGAACAAACTGGTTTGAGTGTCCACCTTATGCACTGTATGAAATATTTAACCCATGTTTTAATGTAGATTTCGTTGTTAGTTTGGTGACAAGAGCTGTTTAGCTGACTCTGAGCATAGTGTCTTTGTGATTTCGTTTCTATTTTGACACAAGTCATAAAGATTGACTTTTTAAATTTATTGTGACAATCATTGAAGAATTAAGCATAAATGAGTCAAATGCATGACAAAACAAAGCCAAATGAAAGTGTCCATTTCAACAGGCCGCTTATTGAATATCTGTTTATTTATATAAGTTAATGACGTACAAATGTCTCTGAAGGGGAAAAAAAAACATGTGAGAGGGAATGGGATGTCAGAAAATGGAGGTTTATAGCCTAGATTGTAATGTCCACTTGCATTGTCCATGTTAATTTTACTCTGCCCTTTACACGGAACTGCATTGTAATTTACTTAGCAATATAATTATTATATCAATGTGGCCACATGAATGAGATTTCTGTTTGTGTTTTATAATTATTTCAATAATGGATTATTTTAAGTGAAGGAGAGCATGTTTTCTCTCTAAATCTGTTTCACATCACTTATACTAGAAAAAAAATAGTGTATGTCTACAGATGTGTTCTTAATGGACATGTACTTCACAGAACCACTTTAAGAGCCTGTGAATAATTTTATACTTCACCTTTTACTTTGATTGAAAATGTTTTTATATAATTAAACCACATGTTTTAAGTATATCATTGTGATTTTAGTAAAAGTGTCCTTTTTGCAACCTTCCATATTAATTAATATATTGTGTTTGTGCTGCCTCCACATGGAAAATGATTTGTGACAGAGCTCAAATATTCAAAATGACCCTCACACTTCAGACAGAAGGGTTGATGTTGGAGAGGAAAATGCTGGAATGAGAGAGTTAAAAACAGAAGAAGCTGTTTATAGTCTTACATCATGTTCCAGTGAACTCTATTGAAGTCAATTAAAAATACAAGGTCTTATTTGTTCGTAGTATAAACAACTCAATTTAAGATGAAATCACTGCTGTAAAAACAACTTAAAGGGATACTCCACCCAAAAATAAAAATTCTGTCATCATTTACTCACCCTCAAGTTGTTGCAAACCTGTATAAGTTTCTTTCTTCTGCTGAACAGAAAGGATGATATTTTGAAGAACGATTGGAACCAAACAGTTGTTTGGCACCATTTGGCTTCCATAGTAGAAAAAGAAATACTATGGAAGTCAATGGTGCCAAAGTTCCAATCATTCTTCAAAATGTCTTCCTTTGTGTTCATCAGAAGAAAGAAACTCGTACAGGTTTGCAACAACTTGAGGTGGGTGAGTAAATGATTTTTGGGTGGAGTATCCCTTTAAACCACCCCTACTTGTTTAAGATGGTCTCCCAGCCTGGTCAGCTTAAAACAATTTGCAAAACCTCTCTCAAACCACCAGTTTAAGATGGGGTTTTTTTCTGCAGGTATATTACTGCTCACTACAATGTTTTGTAGAGTAGCCTAGTTAGTATTCCACTGTAAAACACACACTCAAAGTCTTGTGTGTAACATTATGTGTGTGTCGAGACTCGGCCTGGCAGGGTGTGGTGGGAACGACGAGAGTAATCTCCCTCCTCCTGTGTCTCGTTCTTCGGCTCTGCTCCTCGTCCTCCTCCGGCTCAGATCAGGCACACGCCACGCCCGCCGCAAACAGATCATCCAATCCGGCGTCACTCTCACGTGTCTCGGGAGAGAGGACACACCCTCACATCTTCAGCAATCAGCCATTCACAGCCGGCCAGATGCTCCTGGCCTTCATTACTGCCAGATCCCCGGCACTGATCCAAAACACAGATTCACATACTCCCCTGGCCAGCGATCTTACAGTTGCAGTACAATACAGCACTACTCACACGAGTTCCTGGCTAACCCGTTTTATTCTGTTGCCTTAAATACGGGCCTTAGCCTACATACGGCACGGGATTCACATTACGTTTTTTAATATATATAGGCTATATATACACATTTAATTTGAATGCATATTAAAATAAACATGTCTATAAAAATGTAATACCGGCTATGGACAATAAGGCCTAACTTGTTTGTTCGTTTCTCTCTTCCATTTACACAAACGTCTCTAAAAATGAGTTAATAGAAAAAAATGTATGTGATACTGCCACCCAGTGGTTTAAACTGGAGTTATCCAAATCCAATAAAAAGTTAATATATTCAATATCCTATCCAAATGTTATCTCGCCAAAAGTGTTAATCTGAATGAGTAATTGTTATTAAAGGCACAAAGGTCACAACCAAAATAATAACTGATGTCTTCTGTTTGATGTTGCTGAGATGCAAGACAATCTAAACAAGTGTTTAGCATTAGCAGATTTTTAATTTTTTATTATTATTTTTATTTGTAAGGGTCTTATATAAAATGGAGTACATGCCTTATTTTTACTGTGGTATTTGATATTTGGGGAGCTCTTTGTAAAACTTCCATAGCTCAACAGATGTTTGTTCATTCACACTATTTAAGTACTCAAAGTTAAACATTTTGTACATTGATTTGAACAAAGACATAAAACAAAAAGTGAGGAACGGAGAGAATGATTAAAGCAAAAAAACATGAAGTGAAGAGACACAATGAAGAAGAATTTGAAATGTAATTAAATTCAAAAAAGTTTATGAGGAATAGATGAAGGGAAATGTATTGATGAATCCCCAGCATGGTTGTGCTGTAAGTGCTGTTGTATTTTTTGCAGTCACCTAAAACGGCACACTGATAGTATCTTGAAAATACATTTTCTGACAATTACCAGAGGAATTCTCATTCTTGTTCTCCTGCCTGCGTTCCCATTTCAGCATACATATCTGGACAGATGAAAAAGGATGTGGACAAGGAGCTGATGGTTCATCTTACCCCTCTGCATGGCTGGCTAAGCTGACACCTAGCCTGGGAATGGACTACAATTGACAAGTGTCAAATTAAAAAACAACACACAACAGAAAATAAAAGCTATTATCAACAGTATCCTCAATATATCCAAATGGCATAGATTATATAAAATGGTTTGAAAGATATGAAGGTTTGTGAAAAACATGCAGCTAAGTGTTTTTACTGAAGTAGTTGTAGGATTGAAAATCAAGCTCTTTAATTCTTAGGATGTAGCTATTGTGCCAATAGATGGCAGCAACACTTTAGAAATTAGTTTGTTTAGTTTAGTTTTGTTATAGCTCTATACTGGATTATTTTGCCTGTTGTTGTAGTTGTTTTAATAATGCAGAAATATGCAACCAATTATAGCCATATTTATTCATTGTATAACTAATATTTCTAATTCAAAAACGTGGAAGAGCAATCTCAATGCAAGCACAATCTCGTAGGTTGCATTATTTGGCAGAAAACCGGATCACACTTTGTCAGCAATGCAGAGTTCAGATGCTCAAGATGGTCTGACGGGTTCAGACCCGTCAGACCAATGTCTTTAAAGACCCTCAGAGTTCAGTGTTTCACTGTGTTAAACTAGACTGTTGTTGATACAGGCAATAACCCATTGAGAGGCCAAGAGCGTTGTCGACTCTGCTGGTGTGAAATGTGGTCTGGCTTGAGGTCAGGCTCAGCCTCACAGTATTTCATTTGGACAATGACCATGGCGAGGTGGTTTCAGACGGACAGCCGTGGTCAGAGGGGGAGTGTAGGATGCCACATCGCGAAAATGTCTTTCACCAATGCCATACTAGGAACTATTTGTTGATAGTCATGGTGTTACACAATATGTCTTCCCACTTTTGTGACGTGAGATCACAAGAAAATAAACAGAAGAGGCGCAAAACGAAGTAGGCCTGCAGGTATGCACTTATGAATGAAAAGATTAGCTGAAAAATGAAAGCTACTCATAAACAGAAATTAGTTCAAAACTACAAAAGTATTGTTCTTTTTCTTCTGCAAGTTGCTAAAGTGAGCTAAATACACATACATTATCACAATTTTCTTATACGCGTGGTGGAACGTTACCTGCAAAAACATGTAAATGCCTGCAGTTATTTTAATAATTATATATAATTACACACGCCACTAACACAATTTCAGCTGTCATATAAAACACGCGTTTAGTTAGAGGTAGGGTAGGCTATTTGTTTTATAAACACTTTTTGTTTTACTGGTTGAAACTGTCTTCACATTCTGATAGCTATCAATGATAGTTGTGGTCTAAATATTAAAACATGTACATATATCTTCTGTGGAAGTCTTTAGACAAAAAACTATTTCATCCAATTATTGCATTCGGTCCAAATGCAATGATACTAGGTCCTACCTGCCTTTTAACATATGTATGCATACCTACACGCACCCTGCTCGCACAGACATCACACATCATCAGCGCATTTCATGAGACTATGCAGATTTGTAGACACACAGTGAGCTCCACAAACAAAAAGTAAAATATTTTACAGTGCCTCCTGAACCAAAAAAAACAAGCTTATGCTGTGTTCACACCATATCGTAACTATAATTACAAGATGGCAACCCGTGATGTTCTCGAGACATTCTGGAGTTGGTCACGTCCTCAGACTCGAATTTATGTGTTTCTGTGTCAATACTATCAACGTCGAAATGAAACTGCAGCAGTCAGGTGGTAAAAGTAAAAGTTCTGTAAGTTGTTACATTCATTATTATTGTAATGTCATGTGCTTTGAGACATGAGGTAATTTAACGCCGTGTCTTGTCTCGTGACGCTTTGCAGACTATGCCATGTGCATTTTTTTAATTTATTTTTTTATACTTTTATTTAACCAGGATGTCCCATTGAGATTCAGAATCTCTTTTACAAGAGAGACCTGGCCAAGGTAGCAGCCAAATCACAACAAATGCATACATAGCAAACACCAAATTACATTTTCATGATAAAAGTAGTACAAAAAAACCACAATGAGACTCTTAAGAAAAACAAGAACATGTCTCCATCACAACAGTCTTTACAGTAGTTTTAAATTCATTAATGGACATAAGTGTTTCTAACCTTAACTCTTTTTGTTGATCATTCCACCCCCAAGGTGCTAAATAAGAGAAAGCAGTTCTTCCCAATTCGGTTGTAACTCGTGGCACGTTAAAACGCAACCACTTTGAGGAGCGTAGCTGATAGGTACCAGAGCAGACAGATGAGTATTTATGAGTGCTCTAAAAGGAGGGTGGGATCTTATTCTTTTAAAGCTAGCTTGCTATTGCTAGCCTCTCCCGAAATTGCCTACCCTACCTTTAAAATACCAGCTCAAAAGCATATAGCAAATAAATATAATAACCTTAGTTATATTTGCTTTTTTTATTTAAAATAGGCCTATATCAATATCCAGATTGTCACCTAAAACTCCAGATTGTACAGATTGTCTCGAGAACATCACGGGTTGCCATCTTGTAATTATAGTTACGATATGGTGTGAACACAGCATAAGCTTGTTTTTTTTGGTTCAGGAGGCACTGTAAAATATTTTACTTTTTGTTTGTGGAGCTCACTGTGTGTCTACAAATCTGCATAGTCTCATGAAATGCGCTGATGATGTGTGATGTCTGCGCGAGCAGGGTGCGTGTAGGTATGCAAATACATATGTTAAAAGGCAGGTAGGACATAGTATCGTTGCATTTGGACCGAATGCAATAATTGGATGAAATAGTTTTTTGTCTAAAGACTTCCACAGAAGATATATGTACATTCATTTATTCATTCATTCAATATCAGTCAAACAAGAACTAATTTAACAAGAAGCAAATCATCAACACATAAATGTACCGCTTAATACAATGTGTAGAATACTGGACATACAGTCATAAAATCTCCAGGGAAATTTAGTCTGAACCTCTGAAAAGAACAAGGACATCATCATCATCTTTTGCCTTTGGGCTCCAAATTCCTGTTAATCATCTACACACCAGTTCCTGAAAATGAAAGATACTTTTGGTGTTCTTTGAGAAGATGAGGTTGTCTTACATTAGGGGTAATGAGAGAAATAAAGTCTCAAGACCACTGATTAGCTAGAGAGAATAATTTTCCACCTTTAGCATTCAGAGCTCATTTAACAGTTGTCAAACTATATAAAATGCACCACAGCATGAACTTTGAGGACATTTACTCTTAAGGCATATTTTGTTAGTGGAACAATCTGTCAGAAAGCAGAAAATGTCCTATGATGCGATATAAAGATTTGGAGACAGAAATATTTTAATTACTAGCAGTGAAACAGAAGTATTTAATGTCAATAATTTAATCATATGTTCAAAATTAAGGGGGAACTATTGCAATAATTCAAGAAACCACATTTAAAAAACAAACCAGTTGACCGCTACTCTGAATTTTGAGGGAGTTAAACGCAACTACTGTTTATACCAAGAATATAAATGATTATAGGTCCAAATGAAAGAGTAAATCTTTTGAAGTAGGCTACATTAGAATTTATCCTTCTAGTCCAACTTAAATTTGAAGAGGTTTTTATTATTAGTTTTTTTACATCCCCCACTTTAAACCTCTTCATGGCAGGCAAATAGTGAAAACCACAGGATGAGTAATGAAATGAACTCTGGAGTACTTACAGTAAGCTATAACAAATGGGAACAATAAAAGACACTGAATTCATGATGATGTGCTCGTGTAGTTGAGCAACATTATATTTCATCAACTCATGTGCTTTGTCCTACATCATGTGACTTTTTTGTATTGTTCCTCAAGCAGGCCAATAGATTAAAGGGTTAGTTCACCCAAAAATGAAAATTAAGTCATTAATTACTCACCCCCATGCTGTACCAACCCCGTAAGACCTTCGTTCATCTTCGGAACACAAATGAAGATATTTTTGATTAAATCTGAGAGGTGGATCACTGCTACATAGGCTGCTTAAGGGAATGAAACTTGACGGCCCAAAAAGTCATTAAAGAAAATGTTTAAATATTTCATGTGCCTACAGTGGCTTCACTATAAGTTTATCAAGCGATGAGAATACTTTTTGTGCGGAAAACCCCCCCAAAAATAACGACTTTATTCGACTATTCCTTTTCTTCCTTGTGGGCCTGAGACGAGAGTTCAAGAGATTTCCACGACGCATCCGCGAGAACTGACGTTCTTCTTCTACTACACAGCGCGCGTCTTACAAGCAGAGGAAGACGCGCGCTGTACATAGTAGTAGAAGAAGAACGTCAGTTCTCGCTTCATTCCCTTAGGCAGCCTATGTAGCAGTGATCCACCTCTCAGATTTAATCAAAAATATCTTCATTTGTGTTCCGAAGATGAACGAAGGTCTTACGGGGTTGGTACAGCATGGGGGTGAGTAATTAATGACTTAATTTTCATTTTTGGGTGAACTAACCCTTTAAATTCAGGTTCAGGTTCAATTCACAGAACGCATTTTTGCATTTAAGTGGAATAAAAAAAAGAAGAACGCAAGGTCTAGAGACATTTAAAAAAAGGTTTTAACACTGTGTCATCTGCAAGGTACTCAACAAGAGGAATGTAATGGTCAAACAAACACAGCACATGGTTACAGAGAAAAGCAATGTCTTCTGTGTGAACTAACTATTTTCATTGGTGGGCCAGAGAAAAATATACAAACTGGCCCAATTTTGTCGGATCTATTCACTCAATATCAAATTGTTTGTTTAATGAACTGTCAAAATCACATTTGCAGCAATTGGTCTGTGAATACCAACATGTTGGCTAATTACTTGCAGTCTAATGTTCGGTACAACAGTACAATAATGACTGCCGTGTAACGGAGGCCTAAATAACCACAATGTTTTCTGACGTGAGTATGTTTCCTGTTCATGAGAAGAATTATTGTTTTCGTCTTTCTGTCTCCATCTGATGCGAGTATATTTACACGTTGTCTGAGAATTCAAAAAGAAACATACGCTATTATTTTGACTAGACCGTGTTTGCTGCAGCGCGAGAAGCCAGAGGAAGTGTAGGTGATCTGCGTCTGGTTTACCACTGCATGGATGCTGCTCCCAGACCGTCTGGCGGAGGCCGCTTTTTCGCGGCCAGCCAGAAGTGGCCCAGCCAAACGCTGTAATTGAGAGTGTGGAGGTGGCAGGGATCCAAACAGTCTATCTCCTCACTGCATCCCCACAGTCAGTGAGTCACCTCCCAGTGCACAACATCTTATGCAAACAGGCCGCTTATGTTATCCTCAGCGGAGCTCGCATTTGAGGCCTCTGAGGCAGCTGTCTGTATGTTTCTGACACTTCCTCTGTCTGCTCCCTCCTTCTGTTTTGGTTTGGGAAGTGCTCATGCATTACGTTCCATTAGAGGGGTCCAACAACAGGACAGAAAGCGCACAATGGTCATGGAGCTCATTCTGGGGGGGGGGGATAAAGACAAGTTTAGTAACACTTTACTTCAAGCCTGTATTATATTTATATATAGTACATTATAAAGGTATTTTTAAAGAAATGTCTGATACAAGCTCTTAGACGCACATTTGATTTGCCCTTCAGTTTGTAAAAAAAAAAAAAAAAAAAAAACATGTTTACAGTATTCCACTTACAATGGAATTTTTTAAGGCAAGGCATTGCTCCAGAATAAACATGGAAATACAGAGTTTTGAAAGTATAACCATAATAAGACTTAAGTAAGCATTATAAGTGTTAAAAGGGATGGTTATACAAATTCGGACAGAATGAAGATCATTTACTCACCTTCATGTTATTCAAAACTTGTGTTACTTTGAAGAATATTTAAGTTGCTCTTTTCCATATATAGTGCAAAAACCAATAAATTATCATTTACGATAACTGTAAATATTCAAGCTTTAAGTAAAGTGACTGCCCTCTGGCCTGGATGTTCAGTAATGAGGTTTTCAAAGCAAGCATCCTAAGAATGCATGCCATTCAGCTGACAACCATACAACACTTTCCAGGCCTGTTTACGGTTAAAAAATAAGGTTGTGCAACATTGTCTTCAGATGTATGGGGCTGCATAGACTTTTACAAGCAGTTCAGAAAAACTAGAAAACCAGACAAAACGCAAAATAGACTCACCTATTGTTGACTCTTTTGACCTGAAAATTTGTCAGAAAGCCTCTTATTATCCCTGTTTACCTGTAAAGACTCTCCTTTAAGGAAACTCAGCAGGAGAAATTGCAGTTTACTTCAAGACACAAAGCAATTTTTCAGCCAAATGTCACTGTTGTGATCTTCAATTTCAGTGGACAATGCCAAAAGCACGGGCCAGTGAACAATCATCTCCTCGAGCTTTGGAGAATGCTGGCTGTAAATGTATGCATCTCAGACTATAAACATAACGCAGTATAGTATAGTTACAAACATACAATTAAGTATTCATCACAATAAATCATGAGGAAAATTCCAGTGACTGCATATGAAAAGTCACTATGTGTATGACAATCTGCATATTTTGGGGGCATTCTGGAAAAAATGATCAGTTCACACATTTTTTATTTCTAGCCTATAAATCCATTGCTTTCTGAAAATGATTGCAAAAGAAAGTTTCCATTGTCATCTGAAATGACCATTCATAAAGCGTGGAAACAGGCTGTGACAGTAACCATTAATGAATACAGAAATAGTGAGCAATGTCTCACGGTAAAAACGCTTATAAGCAGTAAGTTCCACTGAAAATTAAATGTTTTTGTGGTTATTTGCTCCACATCAACATGTTTAGACAAATATAAAATGTTACTACCAACCAAAAGTTTGCTATTCTCATTTGTAAATGATGATACATTTTCCAACGTACCATTAACATCCCTGTGTTTGTTTTGATGACTGTCTACAGGAGTTGAATGAAAAATAAAGAGAGAAGCTTATGTCATGATTCCACCATATGTACAGGAATAAGGGAACTGTGTGTGTGTGTGGGGGGGGGGCACACACACACTCACTCACTCACTCACTCACTCACTCACCTCTGGACACACTCACCTCATCTGAGTCATTCTCATCTCTGTACTGGAGAAGATATAATACTTCACAAGTTCACTATACACAACATAATAAGCCCCCCCATAAAATCTTTATTCTTTATTCATTATTTATCATCACCTACAGCCAACAGTATTGAAAAGACAGAATTTGAAGGGTTAGTCCTTGTCAGTCTCCGACACTGATAGCGTTGTAAACACAGTGCAGCTTTTGTGGGTTCTACGTCAGAACGCCGGCTCAGTATTGTCCAGCTCCTGCGTCAGCATCACACGCATGAGCCGGCGGTCTGATGTAGAACCCAGAAGAGCTGCACTGAGAAGAAATTGTTGAATAAAGTCGTTATTTTTGTTAGTTTTTTTGTGCATAAAAAGTATTCTCGTCGCTTCATAACATTAAGGTTGAACCACTAGTCACCTGGACTATATGTCTTAACTACCTTTCTGGGCCTTGAAAGTTAAAATGACGTTGCTGCCTATGGCTGGTTCAGAAAGCTCTCGGATTTCATCAAAAATATCTTATAGTTGCATGTGTTCTGAAGATGAACAAAGGTCTTACGGGTTTGGAACGACATGAGGGTGAGTTAATAGTCACAGAATTTTCATTTTTGGGTGAACTACCTTTAAAGCCCCTTTTAATTTATTTTCTCCAAAATCACTATTCTTTTTTGTTACTATGCAGTCCTTATTGCAATGATGGATAATTACGTTTTTTGGTAAAATTATTTACAGTTTTTTTCAGTCGCTAACAAGCGTTTGTCCAACCAGTAGTCACATTTTCAAAACTCTCAACACAATTAGCACAGCATCGGTCTATTGTGGCCAGACCATTCACACATTTCATGTCGTTTTCACACAATATGCAGTCAGTGAACACATTTCCACAATGCTTACATTTTCTTAACAGACAAGTTATACCTCCCAACAAAATTATGGATTGTTTTTGTAGTATTTGCGAATGTTAACACACACCATCCCACAATAGCAAAAACAATATTCCAAACCTTAGATACAGTATAAAAACCTCTGCTTTTGCAATGATATCAGTTCCAAAAACAATATATCTCAGCAAAATAATAAACAAACAATTGAATAATTGACACACAGCTGATTTATGTTGGGTAAATTGGGCCAACCCCAAATTACCCAATTTTTTTCTATTACATTGACACTTATACAGTAAAATTAGGACTTTGAGGAGTGATGTTTTTGGAAACAGAAACAGAAAAAGACAAACACTGTAATGTCTGGACGAGGAAGAGTAAGAGCAAGGGGCCCAGGGAGAATAGCAGGAGCAGTGAGAGATGCAGTGAGATATGCAGTGAGAGGTGCAGTGAGAGGTGCAGTGAGATGTGCAGTGAGAGGTGCAGTGAGAGGTGCAGTGAGAGGTGCAGTGAGAGGTGCAGTGAGATGTGCAGTGAGAGGTGCAGTGAGATGTGCAGTGAGAGGTGCAGTGAGAGGTGCAGTGAGATGTGCAGTGAGAGGTGCAGTGAGAGATGCAGTGAGAGGTGCAGTGAGAGATGCAGTGAGAGATGCAGTGAGAGGTGCAGTGAGAGATGCAGTGAGAGATGCAGTGAGAGATGCAGTGAGAGGTGCAGTGAGATGTGCAGTGAGAGGTGCAGTGAGAGGTGCAGTGAGATGTGCAGTGAGAGGTGCAGTGAGAGATGCAGTGAGAGGTGCAGTGAGAGATGCAGTGAGAGGTGCAGTGAGAGATGCAGTGAGAGGTGCAGTGAGAGGTGCAGTGAGATGTGCAGTGAGAGGTGCAGTGAGAGATGCAGTGAGAGATGCAGTGAGAGGTGCAGTGAGAGGTGCAGTGAGAGGTGCAGTGAGATGTGCAGTGAGAGTTGCAGTGAGATGTGCAGTGAGAGGTGCAGTGAGATGTGCAGTGAGAGGTGCAGTGAGAGGTGCAGTGAGATGTGCAGTGAGAGGTGCAGTGAGAGATGCAGTGAGAGATGCAGTGAGAGGTGCAGTGAGAGGTGCAGTGAGAGGTGCAGTGAGATGTGCAGTGAGAGGTGCAGTGAGAGATGCAGTGAGAGATGCAGTGAGAGGTGCAGTGAGAGGTGCAGTGAGAGATGCAGTGAGAGGTGCAGTGAGATGTGCAGTGAGAGGTGCAGTGAGAGGTGCAGTGAGATGTGCAGTGAGAGGTGCAGTGAGAGATGCAGTGAGAGATGCAGTGAGAGGTGCAGTGAGAGGTGCAGTGAGAGGTGCAGTGAGAGATGCAGTGAGAGATGCAGTGAGAGATGCAGTGAGAGGTGCAGTGAGAGGTGCAGTGAGATGTGCAGTGAGAGGTGCAGTGAGATGTGCAGTGAGAGGTGCAGTGAGAGGTGCAGTGAGAGGTGCAGAAGTGCAATATTTGATGAAAACATGTGGCCTAACCCTGAAGATCGCAGAGTTTAGATACAGTAATTTTGTGCTTTTTTTGTAAGCAATACTGTAAAACTTTTTCTGTTCTTTCATACCGTGTTTCTACTGTATCTCCTGTTGTAAACAGTAAAGGGAAAAAACTTATTTGCTTTTTACTAGAATGCTTTTGAATGTGAACATTACTGTACATGTGGACATACAGTTCCCAACCAAGAAATTTAGTGTAAAAAGGTTGGATTGCATGTTTTGCATGCAAATACCTGTAAAACTGAAACATCAAAGTCTATGTAGTTTTTGTAATGTCAACAATAGCCAGTATTTTGAAACCTGGTGTACTTTGATTGACTGCATGTACCATGTGAAGTGAAAACAAGTGTTATTCTTTGACAGAATAATTTCATTTTGAGACAGATTTTCAGTGTTTTGGTAAAGTTAGTGTGCAGAGAAAGATGTGTTCTATTTTGAAATGAAGAGTTAGTATATATTTAACAAAATGTGTTTTTGAGAAGAAAATTAACCATTTGGCCAATTGTGTTTTGTAGGTGTGAGTCTGTGTTAAGAGTTTAGAAAAAGTATCTGAAGTATGGGTAAGCGCTTGTTAGCGATTGAAAAAAACTGTAAAATTTAATATAATCATTTTTAAAACAATATAGATTTATGATAAATCCCTAAAAATATTACACATCTGACACAAGTTTTGTGATTAAAAATAAAATGCAACTAACCATTTGCATCACCAATTTGGTATATCCAATCCACCTTACCTGCATGTATTTGGACCGGGAGAACATGCAAACTCCACACAGAAAGGACTCCTGGCTCAGCAGTGACTCAAACCATGGACCTTCTTGCTGTGAGGCGACAGTGCTACCCACTGAACCACCGTGCCACCCGAATGAATAATAACAATAAAGAAATAAATAATCACATTTTCCTTCAGGGAGAACTGTAGCCCCACTAAACCCCACACAAAATGCAATTAACACCACCTGTTAAAAAACTACACACATTCCTTGAAGAATTCAAATCACACTTGCCATTAAACATGTTCCCTT